CACCCAATCCACAGGGGCCCTTTACTCAGGAGAGAAGGAACTTGGGATCTAAGTTTTGATGGAAGTGCTTCAGGTAATCCCGGAGCAGCTGGTATCGGAGGAGTATTAAGGGATGAAAATGGGAACACTTGCTGGGTGCACAGTGGGCCAATAGGAATAGCTGACCCTACAAAGGCAGAAGTGATGGCTGCACTTACAGGAATCCGATAAATCAAAGTTTTGGCATTCAGAACCTATCCATAGAGGGAGACTCAGCTAACATTATAAAATGGTTAGGAAGACGGGAAGCTGGATGGTGGAGACTCGGTCACTTTCTGGCTGAGGCAAGGGATCTACTGGCAGCTTCAAATGCAAATCTATGCTGGATTCCGAGGGAACTTAATGCTCCTGCAGATGAATGAGCAAAAATAGGTGCTCTCTTAGAAGTTCTGTACGGTGATAAGATCCCTCCTGTGTAAAATTCAGGGGTCTGCTCCCTATTTGTATTGTTTCCTTTGTACACCCTCTTGTGTACTCCTATCTTTTCTTAATGAAACCAGTTAACTTTTCTAAAAAAAAAAAAATTATCATCAATCCTAACTGCATTAACGCTGGACCACCCTTTCATTGGAAGCAGTCTATAATTCACAAGGAATCATCAAAACAGGCAATATCCATTTTGTTGGGGTGTGAGACCTTGAACAAGTGAAGGGTTTTAATAGGACTTATGCAAAGAGTGCAGTTTTCAGTTACTTGGTTATGTCCATGCCAACCACATAAAAGTATTTATGTGGTTATGCAAATTCAATTACAGCTGAAAAGGGTCGAAATTCAAAAGCTTCAGATCTTTATAGCATTTAACCAATTTGCTTTTCAACAAAACCAAGATTGTGCAATATGCAATGAAATAAAATCCTAATTTGGTTAGTGTTCTAAAAAAAAAAACTAACTAAGCCATATGACAGGACCAGAGAGAGAGGGGGGGAAAGATGTTCCTGTAGTTTGTTAAGTGATTTGTCACAGAAAAGTTTCGAAAATAGAGAGAGATGCCATCCCTGATTGCAGTTAGACCTGTTCATGGGCCAGGCCAGGCTTTGCCTCTTTATAAACAGAAAATTATCAGGCCCAAGCCCAAGCCCAAGCCCAGCCCTATATAAAGCCTGAAGCCCAATTTGGACAGATATTTATAACATATTAATATATTATTAATTATATTATATATTATATATTCTACATGTTATATACTATATATAATACTTTTTTTGCTACTAATTTTATTACTATATAATATTTTAATTATATATATAATATTATTGGACCAGGCTTATATGGGAAAGCCAAGCCCGGCCTAATAGTTGGGCCCAATGTTTAGAGCCTAAGCCCAAGCCCGATATAGAACTGGCCAGGCTGGACCAGCCCATCAGGCTACCCAGCTCATGAACAGGACTAGAGAGTAGAGACAATGTCTCTGTTCAGAAGTATGTGTCTTTGACTTGAGAGAGAAAAAGACAGATGGCCTTTCTATCTTTTTCTTTCACCCATATACAGTTTAATACTTAGTAAGTAATTGATCTTTGATTTTCTTTCACCTTTCTCATTCTGAACTCTTGTTTTGAGGAGAAAGAGAGGGAAGGAAAGGATGGTTTTTTTGAAGGATAAGTGGGGAATCAGCAAGGTTGGGTGCACATAGGGGATAATGGAATATGAATGCAACTGTTGCTGACATCATCAGGGACCGTGAGTTGTTGATTCTGTGAAATTACGTTTACAATAACTGTTACTTCCAAGTTTTTGGCAGAAAATCTCAAAATTTATCAAGAAGACAAATTCCATTTCACCCTTAGGTCTTAGACTCTTAGCATGACTTCCTGATAATCAATGTAAAAGGTGAGATTCTGCACATGTGACAAGTGACTCTTCATATTTGACTAATAATGATTAGACACCTTGATTTCATTATCTTCCTGTTTGACTGAGTTTGTATATTCTTCCTTTATTGGTAGCCTGGGAACTTTATTGATTTAAAGAAAAGAATAAGGTATTTATAAGTATGCCCAGCATCTCTTGGATTTACACTAGCTATAAGCAACCTGACTCATTTTTTACACAGTACATTACAACAGTCCCCAAAATAACCATAGCTTGTCAACCCTTCGTTCTGTCATAGCATCAGCCACACCATATACTTATCTTTGAATCCAAGAGCAAGTGGATTTCATATCTCTTGCTAAATATTAGCTCCTTCATGATGCGTCTGAACTGCCAAATCCCTTGATGATCATTCTTCAACAAACGCACTACCACTTTGAAGTTCCCTTCCACCACCAAGTCACTATTAATGATGTGTCCATCCTAGACCCTGTAGAGTAACCAGTAATTCAGCTCTTATGAGGTTCCATGTCCTATTGGTGGCCCTGAGAGTACTTCTAACATATTCCCACTATCATCTTCTTTTTTTATTTATTTTAACTACTCCTATGCCTGAAGGTCCCAGACTCTGTACTGCATATACTATGTATATGTAAATTCTTCTTTTTTTTTATTTCCATATGAATCACTGCAAAAGCAAAGAAGTCTGGAGTCTGGAATATTACTGCAGGAAATCAGATCCTAGACAATAATACCTGTCCTGCCACAATCAAAATCTAGTTTGATTTGGTAAACATTCAGTGGACTCCACATTGCATATGGCTATGTAGATTCTTCTTTTTCTAGTGAATCACTGCAAAAGTAAAGAAATCTGAAATCTGGACTAATACTGAAGGAAATCAGACCCTACACAATTATACCTGCACTGCCACAAGATCCCTAAGATGGTCTTTCTGTTTCCAAACTGCAACTAATGGAATTTAAAAATCACTCTTAGAAACCTTTCACCAACAGGATTTTGAACAATATACGATATCATTATCCAAGACAACACTATGACTACTCCCTCACAAGTAACACATGGATGATCAACGGATGCAATTGCAGTTGCACATTTTTAAATAGTACTTTCAAGAATCAGATAACTTGCCTGCATGGCTTGAAGAAAAGCTTACTGGAGTAGTGCTAAATGCTATACGTGAGTCCATTTAGCATAGAAACATAAAAGCATACAAAGATCAAATTACTTCTTAAAAGCAAAAGTACCAGATTGCAGCTGTCCCCTCTTCTATTTGGTAAGTAATAGAATCCAAACTCAAGCTAAGAACATAGGGCAACCAAAAAGAATTGCAAGATGAATTATTTTGAATGTGAGAATTAATGCAAAGAGGAATGTCAAGCATACCCCAACAGGCCACGGCCATTCCATTGTCTTGGTGTCACAATTAAGTTGATTAGTGTTCCCTGCCTCATAATTATCAAAGGAATCGCACGACCTTCATTTAACTGAGCTTCAGAAGCAAGCCTTGGCAGCAAATTATCACCAGATTCTACATTACCAAACTTCACAATCCGGTCCCCAAGTTGTAATCCATCTTCTGCTGCTGGAGAAGCATCAGCTATTTCATCAACCAGGGCAAAGGGCACACTAATGGTTGAATCCACATCCATGGCACTGGGAGTATCACTGGGAACAATATTAGGCAAAGATGCAGATGCAACAGCATGGCCAATATTTGAAGTTTGGTTATCTGGAATATCAACGGAAAAACGTAATCAGTCTATCAGATTAACTATTCAATTTGATTTTTCAATGACCAGGGATCTCATGGGGAAGAGTCAATGCAAAATTTAAACACTTCATTGAATATAAGGCTTGTACCAAAGCACTAGTAAAGACATTTATGTAACTGCATTTCTTGCACACAAAGGGTAGGGTTTCAATGAGAAAATAAATACAAGGAGTATACCAAGAAGGAAAAGGGATAAAATAACAATCATATAAATGGGAGAAAAGGGTTTTAGAATGATTACAGTGAATTAATAAAAGATGAACATGTACAAACTTAAGAAAAGGTTTTTCCATTAGGTTTCTTATTTAGACAACCTATTTCATGCACAAGGAGAAATCAGTGTTTTAGCGCAAGGTGCAAGGCAAGGCGCACGCCTTTTTGAAGCAAGGCGAAAAGATACAAAAAAAAATGCTAAAATAAAAAAAAATGTCAGAAACTTCAAAAATTTGCTAAAAATTCAAAAAAGTGCAAAAAATAAAAAAAAAATATTAAGCATAATATTAATAAAAAATATAATCTTAAATTTTAAAATAAATGTTTTAAAAACCCTATTATCTAAAATTAAAATACATAAACAAAACATGTAAAACGTATTCAAATGAAAATTTAAAAATAAAATCAAACATACAAAGCATTTTCAAGCATGTAAAACCCACAATCTCTTTTTTTCCTCAATTGCATTACTTCAAGTAGCTAATGTGATGTAAAATATATTACATTCTTGATTCTACGAGTCACCTTTGTACCACGCCCCTCAAGGCAAGCCTGAACAAGTCCATGTTGGGGTCTTAATTCTTAATTATTACATAAAAAATAATGATTTTATAAGTTTAATTGCCTGTTAAGAAGATATTTTATTACGATGAATGAATGAACAACATTAACAAATAGGAGGTTCTCCAGGAGCGGAGCCCCTAGCCCAGCCGCTAGGTTAAAAAAAAGTGCAAAATTTTGAAAAGACACACGCCTGGGCTGAGGCGCAAAGCACAGCAGGTGTGCGCCTTTTGAAAGGGCTGCGCCTAGGACTGGGCAAGGTGGATTGGTCACCTGTGCACCTAGGCATGCCTTTTAAATCACTGGGAGAAATAATGTGGTCAATTCAGAGTACCCATGCAAGGAACTCTCAGTAGTCAGTATTTGCCATGTTTTTTGCTTCCCAGTCCACAACAGCCATTTACCTGCCACTTGGACCTTTATTAAGCGATATTAACTACTGAAAGCTTCACCTTTTTCTTTTTTTGAACCTTACAAAATGCCGACAAAGGTCAAGTTTGGCTATGTGGCAGGGACTATAGGGTGAAATTTGCCCCATAAATGGAGGGTTGAGATAGTGCTTTAAACCTACCTTTGACCCAGCCTGTCAGTGTTCAACCTGTGATTCCAAGTTTGGGTTAACCTAAAAGCAAGGATAACATGCAAAAACCATTGACTTGGTCAGCAACATGCTGACCTGAGCAGTTAAAGTGTTGACCCACTTGACCTGTGTAGTATGTTATATTTTCAGTTAGTGGGCCTTAGTTTATTGGGCCAGCTTTCTTTCTTTTTATTGTTTATTTAGTAGCTGGCCTATGGAGGCACTCTTGTCATTGTACTGAATTTCACAGTCAGATTAATAAAAGTAATTAGGGAACTGAAGAGAGGTTCAATCAACTCTCTTCTTTCTTTCCTTTCTTCTCTCCTCTTCTTCTGAACTCCTTTTTTTTTTTTTTTTGATAGATAAAATAGAAGATTTTTGTTAACTCAAAAACAGATTACATGTACCGTAGAAAGGCACGAGTTGCCGCCTCTCCAAGCGGAAAACAATAAGCTAAAGCAAAAAAGTACAAGAATGCTAATATAAAATAACAGTTGAGCCCAGAACAATTTTCCCTATTTGTCCCTTGTTTTTCCAAGACATTAGCAAAAGCATTAGCTGATCTCCCCACCCACTGTATTGTTACAGACATGTTACTTGCCATCCACTTGAATTTCTTTAGCTCATTTTTGTAATCCCACGCAACACCCTCCAGGTTATTTAACCAATCCACTACTATCTTAGAGTCCCCTTCAATCAGCAGCTGCTCCACACCCAATTCTTTTGCCAGAATACTCCTTGTAATGCAGCTAAAAATTCTACAAACAGAGTTCCCAACATCTAATGGACCAGAGTAGAGTAGAACAACCTCTCCAGCCTTGTTTCTCAGAACACCTCCCAACCCAAAGGGCCCTAGGTTGCCCTGGCTACTTCCATCAAAATTCAGATTCATTGAGCCTTGAGGAGGAGGAGGAGGGAGGGGGGGGCAACTTAGAGATATCCTTGCTGCTACTAACTGGTTTCTCCAAAAGTCAGTAAAAGAAAGTTGGTGAAAAAATTCCAACTTCTGAATTCTTTCTTATTCCATTAGTGTAGGTGTGATTTACAACTTGGTATCAAAGCAAGTCCGTATCTTCTTCAGTTTTCTCTTTTAGGCCCACACAGTGTGTATAGAGAATTGATTGGTTGACTAATTAACAACTTATACAGCCCAGTTGGGGGAGGTTTTTGGAAAGGAAAACAGTCTTTGTTTGAGGCCCAAAATATGTTCTTGGAAAGTTTCCTGAAAACCCTAGCTAACTTGAGAATTTGGATTAAGGAGGATAGACTCTCTTTCTCCCGAGTCGTTGGGTCCGATGAAACCGTAATTTTGGGTGTTTAAAGAGTAGTTTTCACCCTGGGCTTGTGATTCTCGATTACTAGCACCCTATTTTTATTTTTGTTTGTTTCTGTTTAGCTAATGGAGCAAACTGGAGGTGAGACGAAACAACCTATAGACTCTAGGTTTGGCTAGGGAGGGTCTATGAAGACTTTTTTAGGGGAAGTAACCACAGTAAAGTTAGATGGAGCTAATTATCTAGCATGATCTCAATCAATTAAGATCCATGTCTACAGTAGAGGGAAACGGGAATACATCATTGGGAGTAAGAAGCAACCCAAGGAAGATAACCCTGCCTATGAGAGGTGGATGCAGGAAAACTATACAGTTGTAGGCTGGTTAGCGAATTCCATGCAACCACATATCAGTAGGCACTATCTATGGGTGGATACTAAAAGAGGTGTAGAACAATGTTTTAAAACATGGAGGCGTGATGTGAAGCGTTCCACTACCTAGAGGCATAAGGCGTAGTTTAGAACGTAAGAGGTGTAAGCCTCCCAAACACAAGGAGACGTAAGCCTCCTTAAGAGGAGGGGGTCAAGAGGAAGGAGGAAGGGGGGATCTCATTTTTTCTTTATTTTTAATAAAAATCTTTTATATTAAGATGAATAAAGATGCATACTACTAGTTGAAAGGGAGGGTGTCTTGTCAAAGCGGAGGCAAGCGAGTCGGAGCATAGCAAGACCTCCCCCCCCCCCCAACACAAAAATCAAATTGGGCTGCATGGAAAGGGGGGCCGCGAGGACAAAGCCCCCAGCCGAAGGGGCCGAGGGCAGACCACTTTCTTTCCCCTTATCTTTTCTTCCCTTCCCTCTCCTTTTCTCTTTTTTTTCCTTTCCTTTTTTTCTTTGTTTTCAATCTTTTTATAAGAGGTGTGCATGAGGTGTACACCTCTAGCACGCCTCATGAAAAAAGTGCATGAGGCGTACACTTCTTGCTCTTGAGGCGTATGCCTCAGAGGTGTCAGTGCCTCTAGCATATGCCTCAAGGCATTTTGGGAATGCCTCGCCTGGAGGCACACCGCAAACCATATGCCTCCCTTGCCTTTTAAAACACTAGTGTGAAATAGTGTTACAGAGACCTATTCCCAAAAATTGAATGTTGCTAGGGCTTACAAACTAAAGAATGATGTAAATAATCTAAGAGAGGGAAGAAACCCTTAGTCGTATTCTTCTCAATGCTGAAATCCCTTTGGCAAGAGATTGATCTGATGGAAACTAGTGTGTAGGGATGTACGTACTAAAGATGCTAGACTCATAGGAAGTAGTGGAGAGGAAAAATCGCTATGTTGTGGAAGTAACCAAGAGTATCCTCTTTGCCTCCCATGTTCCTATTAAATTTTGGCGTGAAGTCGTTATGACACCTACCTCTCTCATTAACTACATGCCTCCTTAGGTTTTGGGGTTCGTGTTTTCTTTCCTAATATAGATGTTTTTTCCATTCCACTACATGTCTTTGGTTGTACTTGTTATGTTCACATTCCTATCTCTCATAGACAAAAATTTAAACCCAAAGCTTGGAAGTGCATTTTCCTTGTTTATGATTCCACACAAAAGGTTATTGTTGTTTTGGTCCCATTAACAGCACTTGATTTGTTTCTATGGATGTCACTTTTACTGAGTCAATCCCCTTTTACAATCATTCTTCTGAGGGGGAGAGTTCCATTGAATTGTTAGATTCTTCACTTCCTTTGTCAGCTCCTATTGAGTCTTGTGGCGTGTCGTCAATGGTACCATCTGATCCAGTTGGATCTTGTCCTCTTAGCTCATCTACTCCTCCTGATCCTCCTCCTCAACCTGTTCATCCCCTAATTTTTACTACTCATCCTATTGTCTAGAGGTGGCACCAAAGGCTAAGGCTAAGGCATGAACACGTTGTTCCCCCATCCTTAGTTGAGTCTCAATAACTTCCAACTCCTAAAGAGAGGACAAGTCCTTCACCACTTGCTCCAATCCCTCCCTTCCCAAACCTTGACCTACCTATGTTGTGGCAAAGGACAAGACGAAATGTACAACTCATTGCATTTCTAAACACCTTTCCTATAGCCTATTGTCCCCTTCCTATCATTCCTTCCTAGCTTATGTTTCATCTCAACCCATACCCAAGTCTATAACAAAAGCCTTATCTAAACCAGAATGGAAGGATAATATGAGGATTGAGATAGAGGCACTTCATAAGAACAATACCAGAGATATTGTAAACTTACTTCTTGGGAAGGAGACCGTAGGGTGTAAATTGAAAGGCATAAGGACCGCCTAAGTTGCCAAGGGTTATACACAGGTATAT